TTTATTATTATTAAAACATATCACATCCTTACTGATAAAAAGCATGAACTATGTAATTAAATAGAAAGTAAACTTACCCCAAATCTCTTTACCTAGGTAGTATTACTGAAAATATTTGGACGAATATTTCTCATATTTATGCATTCCAGCCTGAAAGAGATAGATGAATATATAGGCATATCCCATACATATGCACATGTGTACATACGTATGCTTACTACACATGTTAGCCTGAAACTATCACTCCTCAATATGTTCTGTACATTCCAAATACTTCACTGATTCTAAACATTTTATTTTGGTTTGGTTTTACATCCTTGAAATTAAGCTGCATCTTACAATCTGTGGTGTGTTGCATGGCCAGGAAGCCATCAGTGCAGACAAGTTTGCAAAACATCAAACTGTATAGGAGGGGTGTTAATGGCTTGGGAGAAGTCCATGAGCAAGAGATGCATTTTCTTTTAACACTTAGGTACCAAATTATTGAGAAAGAAGTGTGAGAGACAGTTTATTGGATGAGAATCTGAAGTAGTTTATTAATAGTTTCAAAGCAGGAGTCCAAGGTTGACTGATAATATGTAACTGCAAAGCCAGCATAGGAGCCAGTGGCTTTTGTTCTATGTGTTCTTTGGAAAGTCCACATCCAGGCACTCTTGATAACACTGAGGACAATACTGGGCTAAAATATGTGGGCATTGAAGATTGAATTAATATGCATTGGGGAGTGTTAGATTCTTCGAACAAGTTTCAGGAATATATTAACCAATTTATTAAGTTTATGTTTTTTTTTCCTTTATGCACAGAGTGGTTTATAATTAAAATATGCTCAGATGTAAAAGCCATTAAATATAAAATAAAAGTTCTAGATAATAAAGACCTTATTTGATAGCGTTTCTTTTTATCACAAAAATTATGCATCTTAAAAATGATAGTACCTCAGATTTGATGAAATGCAAGCATCTCCCTCACTCATTTTAAAGTTGCTTCCTGATTTTTCACTAATGAAAGCAAATCCCATAGAAAATGTTCTTGTGCATACCCATTTTCATGTGTATGATTTTTAAAAAAATTTTATTTAAAAGGAAAAAGAGAAAAAACAAAACAAAACAAAGCGGTGTAAGGGTACAAGTAATACAGAGCTACAAAAAAAAACAAAAAACAAAAAACAGTAAGAAATCACCAGTTAATAAATTACACATTATCATCTTAGAGATAGTTGCTCAAGTCACAGTATCAAAGCATACAAAGTGGACATTCAAACAGTGAGACTGCAAACAGTTGTGTTCAATGATCCAACCAAAAACATTAATATGGTCATCTATTTAACACCCCTTAACACACTTGCAGTTATATCCTTTAGAACACTTTTTTTCCCTCTCTTTTTCACAACACAATTTACACATTTTGAGTTTTATTACTCCTTAGTTCTTATTACTTTTTTCTTTGGAAGAGAATAAAGTCAAATATGGCAAAACAAAGCTGTCAGTCAAAACCAAGGATAGACATAGCACATGATGTAAAAACAGAGTACAAGGTTATCAACAATGGTTACCATAATGCCTCTTGCTTCCTTGTGATTTTTCTCTTTAGGATAATAAAATCAATTTCTGACAAATATCAAGTTACAGAGACTGTGGAGTGGCACACGTAAACCTGTTGTACCTGGAGTGCAACATTTTAGGGCTGCAGAAACCAAGAACTTTAGTAGTGAGTTGCAGGAAGGGTGATCTCTTGTGGTCGTACCCGGAGCCAGTCACCTTTCTTGGTGATAGAAGATCACAAAGTGATGATTCCAGGGATACTACAGGAGGGCAAGATTGACCACCTTTCTAATCATCTATCCATTCACTCACCCATTCATTCACTACTTCATTCATTCATTCATTCATTCATTCATTCATTCATTTCATTCTATGATGTTAATCTGTTTAAGCCATCGTGCTAAGTGACAGTTCAGAAATACCTCTACTCTCTGGAATAGTTTTATTCCTTGTGAGCCATGAGATTAACGTGTATGTCAAGCAAAAGTATCTTTTGCTTGATTGTTTCTTTTTTAATCACCATTTGTGTTACATCAGAAGACTTTAAGCACAGGAACATCACAGTCAGGTTGACTGAGTTTGTCTGAATCAAAAAGCTTGACATTTGATCGAGTTGAACAGGTGGGGGAACGGGAGCCCGACATTTGGAACCATCTGTCTGAAGACAGGGAATCTTCCCTGAGAATTACATTTAGCCAAAGCTTTTGAATCAGCGTACTATGTGGGGAAATGTAGCTACAGCCTAGTTAGAAAATAGTGTGAAACCCAAAAGTTTGGGTGTAACCGACCTGGGCTTGTAACGTTAGAAAAATAAGTCCCTCTTCCTACAGTGGTCAGCACCATCAAGGTGTCCCTCATATTTATTCCCTGGCTAACTCAGTTTCAGTATCTTTTATGGTTGATCTTCTAATATGCAGTTCCTTTTTCCTCCTGACTCTTGTTTTAGCCTGGCTAACTCAGGCTGTTTACCCATTCTCACCTGCTATGCGGTCTATTCCAAGAAACTTCCTCCTAGTCCAAGGCAAGTGCGTTGCTATGTGTTCCTGTGGCCCAGTATACTTCTTATCACTATTTTACTTACAGTACTTTTAAAAATTGCTTAAAGCCAGGTGCGGTGGTACATGCCTTTACTACAGGCACTCTGAAAGCCTGCAGCAGCAGGATCAAAATTTCAACCTAGGTTGAGCCACTTAACTGAGATCCTGTCTCCAAACTAAAAAAAAAATTTTTTTTAAAGGGGCTAGGTACATAGTTTAGTGTGAAGATCTTGCGTGTAATATCCAGTATCACCCCCTCACCCACAGGTTGCTTGGAGGGTCACCATCATTAGTTATATAGGCTATGCTTTGCTGTGAAGGACCATTTATATGATAGTCCAGTAGTGGCAAACCTATGGCACATGTGCCACAGCGGATTCTTTGTTTCATTGAAAGCTCTAAAAGGTTTGCCATTCCTGTCATAATCTTATGTGATGATGTCCTCTGAAGTTAATCAGTGCACAGCTCATGCAGCTGTACATTTCCATCCTGATTGTTTCTTTTATCATGTGTCTCCCCCATTAGATTGTCAACTCCAGAGGATTCGGACTATGTTTCTCTTGCTTATGATTTTATTCCTAATCCATATCCCCATTGCTAGTAATTGTTAAGTACTTGCATTGTTTTATTAAAATAATAAATCTACTTTTATTAATGAATATCATTGCAAAATGTGGTCTTCCCACTTGGATTTATCAAACCTAAATTTTTCACGGCAATGTGTTTTTAATTAGACTTAAATTACTAAGACCCTCAATTGCATCTTTCCACTTTGGTTTTATATACTCCTGCATTAATATGAAGAGATTTCCCGCCTCTCTGTCCTAATAACGTTTACCAACTACTTACCAGAAGGGCAAGGCTCACTTTTGCAGAGATATGCACTAAGACCAATTTTAAGATCTCAGTGGCTTAGTGACAGGGGAGAGAAGCTGAAACCGCCTCCTTAAATTAGTGCAGGAGTGATCAGATATCAGAAGTTCCACCCAAGGACACAGTCTGACTTCTGACCTGCTGCTGCCTGCCTCCTTCGCAAAGAATTCTGGGGACTGAAGTCCTTTTCATTGGACGCAGTGCTGGTGATGCTGGAGAATGGGTAAACGACAAACAACAACAGTCCTGCTGCAGGCTTTAATACAAGGCCCCACCCAATGCTGAAGTGAGGGCAAATGATCACGTTGTGTAATCTACCTATAAACGAAGGCTATCTTTTTTAGAGAACCGCGAAGATACCTATTGCGCCGCTACCAGGGCTGAATAAAGGCAAATCATCCTCCACGTGTTTTCTCTCAGAGGTTCTATTTACACACAAACTGGACAAATTTCCCTTTTAGTGAGTACAGCCAGTTGCACAATGGCGATCCTAGAGAAGGAACTCCTCACCTCCCACAGGGCTCCAGGCAGGGCGCCAGCATCCTGTCCCCAGAGATAACCAAAGACTAACGACATATGGAAGCAGAAGAGATAGCGTGTTCCTTCACAAGGGCAATTTAAAAATTTGAAAAAATCAGGCCCTGCTTCCTCTGTAACTCAAGAGAACTACTTTCATAATTTAAAGCAACAGTAAAAAAAATCAAACTAAACAAACAGCAGCATGTCTAGAAGGCACGTGGAAGGAGTACAGGGTAGCAGAGACCGAGGGATGGACTCGCCTTGGTTTGCAAGTAGCAGCAATATGTTCTACTGTGATTTAGACTGCAGTTGAAAATACAGGGCTACAGATTTGCTGAGGGTCCCAGAGAACAGATTCAGCAGGTAAGGACGAATCGAGGCAATAGAAATAAATAACAAATTGGTGAATGTTTTCAGTCATGACTATTCACTGGTTTGGCTGCACAAAATTAACAGAATCCAAACACTTCCTGGTCAAACCATGTCTCCAAGTATCCAATCTATGGCCCATAAAAAGTGTCCATCCATCTGGAAAATAAGGGGAATTCTCTGCAGTTAGGAAACACACAATGAAACAATCTGTAATGATAAAGCCTTGGTAGCAAACATGCTAAGATTTAAATGTTATTATTGATACAATACTATAATTGAGGAATGATTTCTTCCATATGAAGTTACATTTTGCAATCTAGTGGAATTCACTCGGACAAAAAGGCTATTTATCCAATAAGAAAAGTTGGTTTTTGGGGGGGTTTTTGGATAACATTCACACCTTAACCTGGAGATGTCTCCAGAGGGATATAAACCCCACTTTGATTCTTCACTTATATTCTCCTTAACAGGAAATAAATGACTTTACTAGAGTTGTAACCTCACCAATTCTTTAAGATGAAACTTAGAAAAAGGACAGGCCTCAAGACATCCCCATGAGTGCCATAACCACTAATGTAAATGGTGGCATTGGCTTCAAGTCCCATGAAAATTACATTAGTGAAAATGGCCAAGCGGATGGAACGCAAGGAAAAAAGGCTTATTTGTAAGAAGCTTATATAATTAGACAATCCTGACTGACATTTGCCACCATAACAATGACAGACTCAGTTCCAGAATTGCAAATAACAGTACAAACATGCTGAAAAAAAAATGAATAATCCCTACCCCTTTAGACACCCAATATTCAGGAAACATTTAAAATAGTGCTCTTAAGTCAGTGGCTATTTGAAATGATCAAATCTTTGCTCTGGCAAAAACTAGGCCATCAAAGGAATTCTTCATCCACGTCAGCAGTCTTTGTTCCTAGTGAAATATGCAATCACTGTAGGTGTAGTTCTCTTCTCCTCCCACAGTTGAGATGGCAAATAAATGGTACACCTGCCACCAGACCTTCCTTCCTCTTCCTGACTGGCATCACCCATCTGCCCAGCATACTTTCTGCTGAGCCCAGATCGGCTTTCTGGAGATAACACCTCAGTGGGCTGCTGGTGGCTAATGCCCAGGGGAGATCAGTTTGCTCTTTCTGTACCAAAAGCAGCTCTTCAGAGATGCTTTCACAGCTTGGTTACATTAGCCAGGTGCACCTATAACCCTTGCACTCCAGGAAAGAACCCAGCCTGGGAAATTTAGCAAATGTGAAGGATCCTGTCTCAAAGTGAAAAAAAAATAAAACAGGGCTGGGATGCAGAAATAATTCTAAACCTAAGTATTTCTCAGCCTCTTCTTCCATCCTTCATGGAGGGGTCATTTGCTCATTTGAACTTGGGTTCAAGCCCCTGTACTGCAAAAGATTTTGGGGGGAAAAAGTGGTTATTTATGTTTCATATAGTCAATAGTATATAAGATATGTGTTACTATCAAAACTAAGTTTATTGAATGGCTATCATGAAACCAGCTGATATTTTAACATGACAAAAAAAGAATTTAAAAGAAAAAAATTTTAAAAACATGACAAAACACCATCAACATTTTAAAATCATGTGTGTCAAGGATTAACTGAGATAAAATGAACAGTCAGCTTCCTATATTAGGATACGTTGCTTGTAAATGTATTTTTGTATGATAGAGTAAACCACTTTTATTAACCTGCAAAATTTTTATCTCTAAGAAGAGACTGATTTGTCAAATTTTAACACTGGCCTCTATGCCACAGTGGTAGCTATTTCATGTCAGACATCTCTAACAAGTAAGAAGTTGGGATTTTAGCTGCTCCTTGTTCATGAGACAGACTCTTACTATGTAGACTGGGATGGACTTGAACTCACAGCAATCCTGCCTTTGTCTCTCAAGTGCTGGAATTGCAAATGGGCACCACCATGCCTGGATGGGTGTTTCTAATGTTAAGTAACTTCATTAGTTAAGTCCAGCATTAATCCTTTTTGTACCCTTATCTTCCAGTGTACTTCCATTCCCCACCAGCAGTCTTCCAGAGCAATGGGGCTCTGAGCATGAAAGGCCATCAGCCCCAATCACTGCTTCCTTCCATCAGAACAGTGGAATTGGAAAGCTTATTCGGGTGGTGGAGAAACAATCCCAAACCTGAGTATTTCTCAGCTTTTCTTCCGTCCTTCATGGAGGGGCCGTTTGCTTCATGTGATGTGAAAGGATCTGGCACGTGAAGAGTTCACCATGGCCACTTGCCCAACACATCTGCCAGGGGCTGCTTATCACCTCCTTACCACCTCTACTGGACCCAAAGACGCAATGAAAGAGATGTGGAGACAGGATGCGTTAATTTATGATGGTGTATGATGCAGAGGAAAAGCTCTATGAAGTCTATCAAAGCATCTCCCCATTTGTAGTCACCTTGGAGCTTAGTGCCCAATTGCTGAGATCACTCTTGTCTGCTGCAGGAGCATAAAACCACATAGGAGCCCAGTTCCCCGCATCTGCGGAGAGACCAGGAAGGGTAGGTAAGCCCACCCCTGACACTGCTGAGGGGTTTAAGAGGCTGGCACATTTCCTCCTCTGTGAAATGGGGCGATAATTCTTGCATCTCTGGACTCAGTGCAAAAGAACTGAATTACCTCCCGGATGTGCAAGTGCTTTGCCGGTTTATCTGGAAGAGTCTTCAAAAGAGTTGCGACAGCATCAGGAATTATTTTATTATTGTCATCCTCATCAGCTTATGTTGACATACTTCAGGATGCACATGGAATGCAAGTGAAAAGAGCTGTAGAGGGCAACTTACATTTTGGTAATTTTCAACTAGCACCCACCCATAGTTTTCAACCTGGCTCAGTGTTCCAGTCCAATTGACATTTTAAGAATGGTTTTTAAAACTTATGTAAACCCACACAGTGTTGTTCAAGCTTAACCCAGGCTGCAATGGGACCCCACTGTTTATATCTTTAAAGATCTGCCAGTGATTCTGATGCCCAGTCCAGGCTGTGACCCACAGGCAGACGGCGATCCAGCTGTCACTCCTCCACTCCCTCATGCCCTAGAGTTCTTGTGTGGCAGGGACAGGCAGGGCTGGGCCCAATGACCAATGAGTTGTAAGAATCTGGGGGCAGAAAGAGACCTGCCACTGCCTTGGTCTCCCCCTCCTTTCTGTACCTTTCCATGAGACGCAGGAGGCCCAAATCATCCAAGCTTCATTTGCACACATCCCACCTCCTCTTTCTCTAATTAATTGTGGTGATGCGTTAGGATGGGAGCCATGTGAAGGGAAAAGCTGGCTCCATCCTCAATATCTAATGTCTGATATCACCAACAATATATAGTACAGTGGCTAATGAAACTGAGAAAAATTTATTATGCTAAAAGATACAAGCATGCATTAAGTACCCAGGATTACATTTTCCTGAATTCCAATTTTATACTCAGTATTGAATTTATGCTTTTACTTTCTTTGTTCTAGGTAATGAATACCGTACTTCCAGATATTTTGATTGCTATGAACTTGTTTCTTTTCAGCCTATTGTCCTTGAGCTGTAGTTTCCCACTTCCTCTACCCTTTCCTTACCTGTTGCTGGTCACGACCAACTTTCTGGCTGGAAAATGCGTCAAAGCCATGGTTGTTCATGCCCAGCGACACTGACCCAGCTGGCCCCAGTGCTGTCTTCGATGTTCACCTGTTCTCACACTCACCCAGCCTTAGTATGCATAATCACTCTACTGAGCTCAATTCTATAGAAAGAATTTTGGAGGCTTTGTAAATTTTTCCTTCCTCTCCCCATAAAGAGCTCCTCTAAACTAAAATAAGTCTTTGTACACGTTTGCTACTAAAACACTCTCAGGTTGGTACACGCAGAGCCCGCAGAGGGACTGCTGACATCTAGAACGTTGTTGTGCTTTTCATTTCTCCTAAGTTTTCAGCACATTCGGATGGTAATACTTCCCAGCTGGTAAGGGACCCAGCTCCTGGAAGAGGAAGAGCAAGAAACACAGCCCAGCTCCCAGCTGCATGTTATTATGTTATTCCCAAGTCACAGGAAATGAACAATCATTTAGCCTTGACAGGTACATCCAGAAACTCACTGTCTTCCTTTTCAACGTGAAAAAACTCAGGGCCTGCAGAAGTTAGGAATTAGACTTAAAGTATGCTTCATTTTTTTTTTTTTTTGCCAGAATTATGAGGATATTTTGTGAAACCTTCTGAAAACATTCTGGGAAAACACTGCCAACAACCTGAGAAACCCGAGAGAAAAAAACCCCACTTACCTGAAATGCTTTCAGCTCATGAACATGCAACTCAGTGGTGCCTTGCAAGCGGGTGACGGTCAGACTAATGTGGTGGCAACTGGCGTGTAATCCAAGTGGCCCTTTCAGTGGACTTTTAGACTTAACTCCATTGCAAAGTTGTCAACAATGAATTCCCTTTCAGATCAGTGTTAGGGTGAATTAACGAACATGTCAAACATGCTAGGAAGTTTTTGATTTTGGTTTGTTATTCCCTTTATCCTGATATGTTTGTTCTTCAGCTGAAAACATTTCCATTTCCTGAACATACTTCTCAAAAGCAGAAATATAATCGATACAAGAACTTCGTGCGCTTGTCCTGTAGTTTACAGTTCACAAGGCACTTCCAGGGACCCAACTCTGTTACTCCTCCTCGCCACCCAGTCCTGCAGGCTGGCCTCCGTGTGCAGATGACAGACTGGGCGGCCACACAGACCGCAGAGTCGCCTTCATAAGTGTGAATGGCTGGAGAGACAGCTGGTTCCCCCTCCTCGGCAGGGGCTGTTTAGTCTATCTAGCTGAGGATTTTAAAACATTTACTACAGCTTAACTTACTTTGCCCCCTATTACGGCCCGTTTGTGAGTGTCACTCTTTATCTCTGGGCCTGAATCAAACTTCACCCCTTCTCCCACCTCCTGTTTCAGAAGGGAAAAAAACTCAAAGCCTAAATATAGAACACATGTGCTTCTCATCTGGGCTCTTTAGCGGCATCAAGGAAATGAGAACTGTCACGGGCTCTGTCTCCCTGGCCTTCAGCATGCCCTTCTCCCGGGGTCCAGCTGTCTCTGCCGAGGCCAGAGCCTGAGCTGCCATACTCAAAGTCACCCTTCTGCTCTGCACCCTTACTCCAGCTATCATCTTTTTGGCTTCTCTGTGTCTCAGTGGTTTCTCTGCGGGTCTGTGAACACATGCTTTCATTTCTGTGCAGGGTAGATTTGGAGGTGTGCAGCCAGAGGAAAGTAGACACCTCCTTATAAAGACTGAAATCTCCCATCGTCTCTTGGCCCAGTCTGCAGTGGGCAGCCGTGACTCAGGGTGACTCAGGGTGAGGTCACGCGTTTGCAGGCAGCGTTGGTAGGTAATGGGGAAGCTGAGCTCTTTGCAGGTGCCGTGCATTCTCATTGGAATGCATCTCCATGTTGCACTGGCATCTTTTGAAGTAGAACTTCATGGGGTGAACAGGAAGACTACAACATTTTTATTATAGTTGGCTTCCTTTGCTGAATTAGCGTTTATATTTTCCCAGTAGAAATCCCCAAATTGAAAATATAGAGGTGTCAGCTAACACCACTTTAGTTAAGGTTGTGTCAACATTTCCTATAAACCTTGTTTTTCTAGGGTTTATAACTAGACCATAAAAATTTGCTCAGCTCTGAGACTTGGCATAGAAAGTAAACTTGGGAGTGAATTTTGCAGAATTTGAAAAGGGAAAAATAAGTTCAGCTGTTTTTAACATGTGCTTGTGCTAAAATGGAAATGATTTTAAGATGCCTTTTCTTCTTGTGTGATTCAAACAGCTTCAGTTTTGATAAAAATAATCAGCTCCTCAAGAGATTATTTCATTAATTTGGGCTAATTGCACTTGTTAATTTTTAGAGAAAATGTTAATGATTGAGGTATTTAAGTCACCGACTGCCTCTGCAGGTACCAGTTTTCTCAAAGCAGTTAGCAGTGCATAATAATATGATTTGGCAAATCATCTGCACACATTTGAGGGCAGTGAGCCACCGGTGCTTCAAAGGAATCCTTCTGATACAAGGCTAATGGACCATTTCAAAATATATATGTACTCAGAATAGCGTCTCGTTCATCTTTACTCAGTCCTAGGTCCCATTTCTCAGATGACACCCCAAAGCATCTCAAGTAATGTTTTTACAGGGAGCCCTCAAATCTCCCTCTGGTTTTCTTTTCCCAGGGACGGGGCCAGCTCTTCACAGCTCCATCAGCTCCCGTGCCCTTGGCCATGCTGGTGGTGTGCTGGAACATGGAGCAATCAGCCAGTATGTGGCCATATGCTGGCTTCATTTGTCAGTCTCGGGCCACGGCTCCGGGACCATGGTAGCCACCAGTGAGAGGAACATCATAAACGAAAAGAATTTCCTCCAACATTCAAGTCATTTTTTTTTGTGCTTCAAGGCAGAAGAAGGGAGTTCTGTCAACATCGGGTGAGTTAGTCCCTCTGAAGGGGCAGTGCCGCACTGCTCACCTATAGGGCTCCTGAAAGGATGTACAGGAAGGCTCTTACACCCCATAGAAACAGCTATATCAACACTGTTTAAAGTGCAGGGTGCCATCCAAGGAGGAAGGGAAGGTGGCACCTCCCTCAGTGCACGGCACCCAGAGATCCCACTCAGTGCTATTCGACACGCACCATGTACCCCCTTGGGCTGATTCATGGGGAAGGCCCTGGGCCTCCCAGCAAAAGCCACAGCCATATGACTCATCCTCTGCCCTTTGTCTGCTGACTGGAGTTTCCTGTTCCCCCTACTCCTTCTCTGCCTCTCGCTGTCCTGTGACCTCCCTTCTGCAGGGACAATGTGCCACAGGCTTGGATGCTCTTTTCCACAACACAGACCCAGCCTGGGCCCATACACCATCTGTGATGTCACCACATCTGCCACTGTGGCACCCTCCATCCTGTCACATGACACCAGCTCCTCTTGCCAGTTATAGGTTGTTTTTAGGTTTTCTATGAGATTGTTCCCCATGGAGCCCAAGCAATTCTTTCCTGAAGGAAGAACCTGCTACACGTATTGGGAGTAAATGATCTATATTTGTGATGGGGACTTTCCAGGCAGGAACACATGCAATGTCATTAGCACGGCTGGTCCTGACCAGAGCTGGCTTCACAGGTGTCTGATCTGTGCAGTCATATGGGGCCCTGGCACAAAGCCTCTGCCAAAGGTGTTCAGCCCTATTCTTCACTTTAAATTCATAAACAAGGAGTGCCATGTTTTCATTTTGCACTAGGGCCTACCAATGTTGTGACCCTGATCATTTCCTGCCTATCCCTGAAGACCTGAAGCTTTGTCCCAGCATAAAGGGGGCACTGTAACCCTCAGAGCAGCCACAGTGTAGAACTGAGACCATCACTTCTGTGCCTAGCAAATACTTTGAGTCATCCATCTACTCAACCAACACGAACTGAACACTGACCTTGTGCCAGGAGCTCAGTGAGCAAAACAAAGACGGCCCTGCTCCTGGGAAGACAACTGAATATACTTTCGTGGGTTGGGAAATGAGCAATGATGTGGCAAAAACAGAAGCAGGGAAGGGAGATCAGAAGGGTTGGTCTGCACCTTGCACTAAGAAAACTAAATCTAACCCAAGATCTGAAGGGGTTTTTGGAGGTGCGATCTGTGAATTTCTAGGGGCTCCGTCTTCCTAATGGAGGGGTCAGCAGGTGTCAGATTCCCCAGGGAATGAGGCTGGTTTGTGGAGGAGGAGCCAGGGGCCCGTGAAGGAGGAGGATGGCTGAGCTGGGGCCAGAGGGGAGCGCCATGCTAGGGAGAGGCGAATGCTGCAGGGCCTGAGAAGGACTCAGGCTTGGGTCAAGTGAGACAGCATCATCAGGGCAGTTTAGAGCCAAGGTACGATACAATCACAGTGTGGAGAAGAAGGGTAAAATCCAAAAGGCCCAAAGAAAGCTCAATAACCCAGAGGAGTGGTGCTGTTTCCCATGGCCACCAATGTTACCTAGCGTTTCTCCTCTGAGGGGGCTCCTGGCCTCAGCCTTGGCTCATCTTCCTCTTTTGTCACAGCTTCCTCATGTAGGGGGCTCAGCAATACACACAGCCAAATCCACCCAAGAAGGAACACATCAGCAAGGCAAGGCAGGACACCACTTTTGCTAGAGATATGTTTGAAAGAGAACAAGAGGCTGGATTTTCACCTATGGGTTATTTGAATCTCCTGTAGGGCTCAAGGTCTACTCTCCATACCTCCTTATGCCTGCCAGCCCACATACTTCTCCAAGTCCATCTTCCCAGCAGCCACATTTTACACATGAGCCTGTATCCTCCCAGTCCTCATAGACATGAAATCAAGTCAGTAGAACATCTCTGAAGGCAGTAAAAAAAATGTGTCCTTCTGAGGTCAGAAGGCTCACTGGGCAAGCAAGTCAAATGAGTGGTTCCTACAGGGCAGGAAGAGGATCGTGCAGCACTGCCCTGGCCCCTGGGGCCTACCAGGCATGCAGGTCTCTTGGTGAGCAGCAAGATGGTGGGGTCAAGGGCTTCCTGTTTCCCCTTGTTCATCTCCAGTATAATCTGTTTTTCTTTCTAATAGGTGGTTGCATTTGTGAAGTAAAGACATAAGGTTTCATTCCAGTTCCAAAATAAGTCCAGAATCAAGTATGAACATTGTGAAAGTACACGGTAAATATGAAACCACTTTCCTAAATTAAGGTAGCATTATCCGTCTGTGAAAACAATCTCCAGCACTCTCCTTCAGTATTTGGAAACAATGCATTGAATACCTTCCAAACAATGAAATCCCGCCAAGCTGTTCAAATTATTGTGTTGTAATAATCTGCCCATACTCTCACAGTGTTGCTCTGGGGGTGTCTAGACCAGTGTTACCTTCACCTTTCACTGTCTAGATGAAGGGCATCTGGGTGGTATAGCAGAGCAGGGGTGCACCCCAACTCAGAAAGCCTGTGACCTCAGGCTCCATGGTTTCAGCCAGATTACTTAACCCCTCAGAGGCACAGTTTTCTTATCGGGAAAATATCCTACCTGTTTTGCTGATGTTGACAGAATTGTATGGAGAAAGAAGTCTTGTTGAGTGTACAGGACAGTGCTTTGTCAACCAGCTGCTTTCAAATTTGATCTATTACAAATAGAACCATAGCCTTCAACTCAAGTCATTATTATCTCCTACAAATTGCAAGATCTAAGTGCATATTAGATAGTATAGACATTTGAGGAACTTCCCTACTTCTCCTTATGGTTTTGTTTGTTTAGAACAACAAGAAAACTAGGTAGCTAAACCATTTCATTTTTTATATTCTCTTTATAAGCTTAGAAGAAATACATTGTGTCACAGGGCACTGAAGTCATTTGCAATCATGAATCAAAGATTCTTTAGATTAGAGGAGGAAAAAAGCATAGTTATAAGCTAAGCAAACAATGTAACAAAAATGACTACTTGGTGAGGTTTTGTGAGGTTCTGTTGGATAATAAGGGTTGGCTCCACCAATTAGTGTGTTTAAAAACATTTTTATAGAAAGTGTTGATACCCCCTAATCATAAGGTGCTTTCAAGGTGGTATCTTAGTTACTTCTCTTACTGCTGAAACAAATGACACAACACTCAAAATTAAAGGAGGAAAAGTTTAGCTTTCAGTTTGTAGAGGTTTCAATCCATAGTTGGGTGGTTCCAAGGCAGGGTGACCTGGCAGAGGGCACTGAGGAGGAGAAACAGTTCATGGCAGGCAGAAGGCAGGAAAGCAAGGAAGCAAGCAGCAAGCAACAATCCTTTTTCTGTCTCTCTCTCTCTTTTTTTTTTTTTTTTTTTTTTTTTGGTACTGGGGATTGAACTCACAACCTTGTGCTTGCCAGGCTGGCACTTATGCCACTGAGCTAAACTCCCGGTCTCCTTTTTCTGTCTCTTAAATCCCACGCAGGCCACTCACCCTTAGGGCAGACAACCCTCACACTCAGGGTAGGGCACCCTTAATCCCAGAATTGCACCATGAAGCAATGCTAGTATCACATCTTTGATCCCAACATCACATACTTCAGATCCAGCAAACTCCAAAAACTGCCACTTACGACTGTATGAGGCTTTTGGGAGACATCTAGACACAAGCCATAACAAGTAGGTATATGAGGGACTAACAAGATCCTATCTGTAGGATCTTGGGGTAGTTCTTCCCAATTGGGAAGCGCTCATCATTAACCCCTGCCCCCATCATGGTATCTTTGAAATGCTGGCGGGAGGAGGTGCTCAAGCAATTT